TATTCCTCATGTGCAAACATGTAGGTCATTCTCACTCAGGTGAGACAACCTTGTACCTTGCAATATCATGTAGCTCATCACAGGTAGACAAACCCTATTCCCATGTGGCATCATGTAGGTCATTCTCACTCAGGTGAGACAACCTTGTACCTTGCAATATCATGTAGCTCATCACAGGTAGACAAAACCTATTCCCATGTGGCATCATGTAGGTCATTCTCACTCAGGTAAGACAACCTTGTACCTTGCAATATCATGTAGCTCATCACAGGTAGACAAACCCTATTCCCATGTGGCATCATGTAGGTCATTCTCACTCAGGTGAGACAACCTTGTACCTTGCAATATCATGTAGCTCATCACAGGTAGACAAACCTATTCCCATGTGGCATCATGTGCCTTCTCACTCAGGTGAGACAACCTTTGTACCTTGCAATATCATGTAGCTCATCACAGGTAGACAAACCCTATTCCCATGTGGCATCATGTAGGTCATTCTCACTCAGGTGAGACAACCTTGTACCTTGCAATATCATGTAGCTCATCACAGGTAGACAAACCCTATTCCCATGTGGCATCATGTAGGTCATTCTCACTCAGGTGAGACAACCTTGTACCTTGCAATATCATGTAGCTCATCACAGGTAGACAAACCCTATTCCCATGTGGCATCATGTAGGCCATTTCTCACTCAGGTGAGACAACCTTGTACCTTGCAATATCATGTAGCTCATCACAGGTAGACAAAACCTATTCCCATGTGGCATCATGTAGGTCATTCTCACTCAGGTGAGACAACCTTGTACCTTGCAATATCATGTAGCTCATCACAGGTAGACAAAACCTATTCCCATGTGGCATCATGTAGGCCATTCTCACTCAGGTGAGACAACCTTGTACCTTGCAATATCATGTAGCTCATCACAGGTAGACAAACCCTATTCCCATGTGGCATCATGTAGGTCATTCTCACTCAGGTGAGACAACCTTGTACCTTGTAATATCATGTAGCTCATCACAGGTAGACAAACCCCCTATTCTTCCCATGTGGCATCATGTAGGTCATTCTCACTCAGGTGTAGACAACCTTGTACCTTGCAATATCATGTAGCTCATCACAGGTAGACAAACCCTATTCCCATGTGGCATCATGTAGGTCATTCTCACTCAGGTAAGACAACCTTGTACCTGCAATATCATGTAGCTCATCACAGGTAGACAAACCCTATTCCCATGTGGCATCATGTAGGTCATTCTCACTCAGGTGAGACAACCTTGTACCTGCAATATCATGTAGCTCATCACAGGTAGACAAACCCTATTCCCATGTGGCATCATGTAGGTCATTCTCACTCAGGTGAGACAACCTTGTACCTTGCAATATCATGTAGCTCATCACAGGTAGACAAACCCTATTCCCATGTGGCAATCATGTCATGGTAAGGACAACCTTATGCCCATTCTCACTCAGGTGAGATTCCCATGTGGCTTCATAAAGGCCAACCTTGTACCTTGGCAATATCATGTAGCTCATCACAGGTAGACAAACCCTATTCCCCATGTGGCATCATGTAGGTCATTCTCACTCAGGTGAGACAACCTTGTACCTTGCAATATCATGTAGCTCATCACAGGTAGATGCAAACCCTATTCCCATGTGGCATCATGTAGGTCACAATTTCTCATAGGGTGGGCGAAGCATTCCACGGCCATCAGGTAGAGACAACCATCTTTGTACTTCTTGCAATTCTTATCATGTAGCTTGGCGCATCACAGGCTCAGATCTAAAACCTATTCCCATAGGTGATCATGTAGGCTATTCTCACCAGGTAAGAGACAACTTGCAATATAGTACTGTGTCGTAGCTCATCACAGGTAGACAAACCCTATTCTATGTGGCATCATGTGTAGGCCATTCTCACTCAGGTAGAGACCGTCCTTGTACCTTCCGCAATATCATGTAGCTCATCACAGGTAGACAAACCCTATTCCCATGTGGCATCATGTAGGTCATTCTCACTCAGGTGAGACAACCTTATACCTTGCAATATCATGTAGCTCATCTACAGGTAGACAAACCCTATTCCCATGCTGTGGCATCATGTAGGCTCATTCTCAGTCTGGTGAGACAACCTTGTACCTTCGCAATATCATGTAGCTCATCACAGGTCAAACCCTGATTCCCATGTGGCATCATCGCTAAGGTCCATTCTCAGTCTGGTGAGACAACCAAACAAAATCTCCCAATATCATAGTAGCTCATCACAGGTGGATGAGCCCTATTCCATGTGGCCATACATGTAGGCCATTCTCACTTTCAGGTGAGACAACCTTGTACTCTTGTAATATCATGTAGCTCATCACAGGTAGACAAACCCTATTCCCATGTGGCATCATGTAGGTCATTCTCACTCAGGGTGAGACAACCTTGTACCCGGCAGCAATATCATGTAGCTCATCACAGGTAGACAAACCCTATTCCCATGTGGCATCATGTAGGTATATTCTCACTCAGGTGAGACAACCTTGTACCTTTGCAATATCATGTAGCTCATCACAGGTAGACAAACCCTATTCCCATGTGGCATCATGGTAGGTCATTCTCACTCAGGTGAGACAACCTTGTACCTTGCAATATCATGTAGCTCATCACAGGTAGACAAACCCTATTCCTCATGTGGCATCATGTAGGCTCATTCTCACCAGGTGTAAGACAACCTTGTAAATTTGCAATAATGCTGTAGAAACATCACAGGTATGCAAACCCATTCCAGGTCATTGCCTCGGAATTCTAGGTGAGTAATAAAATCTTGTACCTTGCAATTATCATGTGGCTCACATAGACAAAACCTATTCCCATGTGGCATCATGGGCTGGCCTCGTAATCAGGTGAGACAACCTTGTACCTTGCAATATCATGTAGCTCATCACAGGTAGACAAACCCTATTCCCATGTGGCATCATGTAGGTCATTCTCACTCAGGTGAGACAACCTTGTACCTTGCAATATCATGTAGCTCATCACAGGTAGACAAAACCTATTCCCATGTGGCATCATGTAGGCCATTCTCACTCAGGTAAGACAACCTTGTACCTTGCAATATCATGTAGCTCATCACAGGTAGACAAACCCTATTCCCATGTGGCATCATGTAGGTCATTCTCACTCAGGTAAGACAACCTTGTACCTTGCAATACATGTAGCTCATCACAGGTAGACAAACCCTATTCCCATGTGGCATCATGTAGGTCATTCTCACTCAGGTGAGACAACCTTGTACCTTGCAATATCATGTAGCTCATCACAGGTAGACAAACCCTATTCCCATGTGGCATCATGTAGGTCATTCTCACTCAGGTGAGACAACCTTGTACCTTTGCAATATCATGTAGCTCATCACAGGTAGACAAACCCTATTCCCATGTGGCATCATGTAGGTCATTCTCACTCAGGTGAGACAACCTTGTACCTTGCAATATCATGTAGCTCATCACAGGTAGACAAAACCTATTCCCATGTGGCATCATGTAGGCCATTCTCACCAGGTGAGACAACCTTGTACCTTTGCAATATCATGTAGCTCATCACAGGTAGACAAACCCTATTCCCATGTGGCATCATGTAGGTCATTCTCACTCAGGTAAGACAACCTTGTACCTTGCAATATCATGTAGCTCATCACAGGTAGACAAACCCTATTCCCATGTGGCATCATGTAGGTCATTCTCACTCAGGTAAGACAACCTTGTACCTTGCAATATCATGTAGCTCATCACAGGTAGACAAACCCTATTCCCATGTGGCATCATGTAGGTCATTCTCACTCAGGTAAGACAACCTTGTACCTTGCAATATCATGTAGCTCATCACAGGTAGACAAACCCTATTCCCATGTGGCATCATGTAGGTCATTCTCACTCAGGTGAGACAACCTTGTACCTTGCAATATCATGTAGCTCATCACAGGTAGACAAAACCTATTCCCATGTGGCATCATGTAGGCCATTCTCACTCAGGTAAGACAACCTTGTACCTTGCAATATCATGTAGCTCATCACAGGTAGACAAACCCTATTCTCATGTGGCATCATGTAGGTCATTCTCACTCAGGTAAGACAACCTTGTACCTTGCAATATCATGTAGCTCATCACAGGTAGACAAACCCTATTCCCATGTGGCATCATGTAGGTCATTCTCACTCAGGTGAGACAACCTTGTACCTTGCAATATCATGTAGCTCATCACAGGTAGACAAACCCTATTCCCATGTGGCATCATGTAGGCCCTTCTCACTCAGGTGAGACAACCTTGTACCTTGCAATATCATGTAGCTCATCACAGGTAGACAAAACCTATTCCCATGTGGCATCATGTAGGTCATTCTCACTCAGGTGAGACAACCTTGTACCTTGCAATATCATGTAGCTCATCACAGGTAGACAAACCCTATTCCCATGTGGCATCATGTAGGTCATTCTCACTCAGGTGAGACAACCTTGTACCTTGCAATATCATGTAGCTCATCACAGGTAGACAAAACCTATTCCCATGTGGCATCATGTAGGTCATTCTCACTCAGGTGAGACAACCTTGTACCTTGCAATATCATGTAGCTCATCACAGGTAGACAAAACCTATTCCCATGTGGCATCATGTAGGTCATTCTCACTCAGGTGAGACAACCTTGTACCTTGCAATATCATGTAGGTCATCACAGGTAGACAAAACCTATTCCCATGTGGCATCATGTAGGCCATTCTCACTCAGGTGAGACAACCTTGTACCTTGCAATATCATGTAGCTCATCATGGGTAGACGAAACCTATTCCCATGTAGCATCATGTAGGCCATTCTCACTCAGGTGAGACAACCTTGTACCTTGCAATATCTTGTAATCAATCAGTTGTCTTTGACTTTTACCTGTACTTGGTCTCCTGCCATTATCAGGAGCATGATGAAGTAGGTGAAATATCATTGTTCCACTCCTTTGTTTTGCAGGTGTTTAACGAGAATCCTGACATCAACAGTCTTCAAACCACATTGAAGTCGGTGGACTTTCGGGATGCCTACCCACGATATCCTCCTATACAGGTTCCCATAATATTGTTTTATTCTCTTGAGGGTCAAAAACAGAACAGTTGTCTAAGGCATATGAGCAATGCATGCGTCTTAGATGCGACTAGTTTCAACCCAGGGTTAGACTCAGTAGTTGAATGTACAACACCAGCTACTGGTTTACCTGTCCCAAATATTGATGTAATTTTACAGACCACAATGTCACAAAATTGATGTATACATACATATTAAATGTCCGTAGCAATAATGTTTCCACGTATCCATGGATTATTTTGGGTGTATGATGATGATAGTTGTTATCTTGCTAACCTGTATGTTCTTGTTGCAGCTTTTAAATGTGACACCTCAGGAGCGAGAAATGACCATTGACTTGCGGCCATTTATGAATCCTGCTCCATACACAGTCATCGATGTAAGTTCCCGAAATTCCCTTCATACATCGCTAGTGAGCAGGTTGCTGTTGCCATGCACAGTGTCGATAGCATATTGTTGTTTTATAGACCTGTTAACTTGTGTGTTTGTATCTGCAGTGTGCCTCCTTACCCAGGATATTCAAGTTATTCCGAGCATTGGGTCTGCGCCATGTCATCGTCGTCAACAAAGAACATCAGGTATGGTCAGATGGTCAAATCTTTAGTCTGATATGAAACCTTTCTGTGTGACAACCTTCAATACATCATGGCAACCAGTGGTACCCCTGACCAGGTTGATTCAATTCACTTACATGTGGCTGGATTATTGGTGAGGGGCGGTGGGTAGCCTAGTGGTGCATGTGTTTTCTTGTCACGCTGAAGACCCGGGTTCAATACCCCACATGGGTACAAAGTGTGAAGCCCATTTCTGGTGTCCCCTGCTGTGATGTTGCTTGAATATTGCTGAAAGTGGCGTAAAACTAAACTCACTCACTCACTGGATAAATTGTGACCTTTAACCTGCGGGTGTGATTATGATTCAGTTTGGTAGTACCCAACACTCTCAAGGGTGTAACCTAAGTGTTTAACATTGAGGAACTGCATTTCTTTGGACTTCGTTAAGCATTTAACTATTATAACTCAATAACGTTATAAAGCAACATTGAACCTAACTCACAAATAATGAACTGAAGTCAGTAATCATATGCTGTTTCTAGGTGATTGGCATGGTTACCAGGAAAGACCTTGCTCGCTACAAGATCTGGCGGCACAGAGGGCAGATTAGCATGGAAGAGCTTCTAGTCTCTCACAGCTGATGAAAGACACTGGCGTGATAATGACACTGATTAATACTCTGTTCTTGTAGTGAGATTCCATGATGTGAGCTAGTCCTCAGTGCTGGTATAACATTCCACCATGAACATATTGGTACACTTGTCTGGATGGAGTGTGTGAGTGAGTGACTTTACTTGTTGATTGTTATGGTGGACAAGTTTTGGATGGTGTTAACACAAAGGGAGATAACTGAGAATGGTTCTAGGAGACTGATGGACCTGTACAGCTGATGGAGTTTCCCCTTTGCCTCAAGGCTCCTGTCTTGTGGTACTTGTGCCAGTTAATGGACATTATACTATTATGCTACCTTATTACTGGCAAACAAGGATAAATTGAGCACCGACCTGACAATTGACCCGTATTAGCATGTATGAGTGCCCCCTACTGGCGCTTGCCATTGTTGGCCAAGGGGCCCCAGGTTGTCCGCGATCCAGTGTAGTGCGACTTACTACACCGACGTGAGAGTCCTATGAGCAAGGCGTGTGCAGCTATGAGTGGAATCAATTTCATCGTCATGCAATGCACGTTCACAAGCCTACATCTGTTCTTCCTTTCACAAACCAAATGGGTTTGCTCATTGCCGTACATCGCCTACTTCTCGTAAACGCGTTCTCTGCGCCGGTCCAACTTATCCTTGTTTGCCAGTATGTCAATGTATCATTTCCATTGTTCTAATCATCTGTGTGCAATATGACGACCAAGTTCACGTGCTGTGAGGAAATTAAGATTATTTTTCCGTAACAGCAGATCTGTAATAGTACATTCCTTGGTGGTATTATATTACATTGGAGTTATCTCCAATATCTCAATATCTCTGTCTTGATATCACAGCTCTTTAGATCTGTACCAATGTTCCCGCTGTGTTGCAGGACATTTCCGCCCTTAAAGTGCAGGGCAGCAGCTCACAGTGGGAAGGATGGAGCATGCTGATGTTATAGAGAATTGTGGGGAGGGTGTTGTCAGGGGGTGGAGACATGGAGTGGGTGTGGTTGTGGTTGAGGAAGGAGTGGGTGTGGTTGAGGAAGGAGTGGGTGTGGTTGAGGGAAGGAGTGGGTGTGGCTGAGAGGTGTGTAGTTGGGGTGGTTGAGTGAAGAGGGATGGAGGTATAGTGGATGTTGGGTAAGGACAAGCTTGCTATCGGTGTTGAATGTAGGCTGCACCAAATGTCTCACAGAGCACAGCGACAAAGTCTCCACAGAAATATGTAGAACTTGTAATTTGTTGATACTGGGTGATACAGGACAGATACCAGAATCCACACTGAGAAGGTCATTTTCTGCAAGTATCCTTGTGTATGGATAGCAGGGGACCAGGATTTTAAAGACTTTGGAGTATGTGAAAAAGGCAGATATGCTGGGTAGAGTAACTGACACATATTGAAATTAAAGTCTCTGAAAAAGGGTATTTGACTAACTGGAACAAAGACAGTAGGAGAGTCTCCCTCCCTATATATACCATTCAAATAATGTAGGGGATATTCCATTTTGCGAGCATACCACTAGCCAATGCCTATGCATATGAGAAACAGTAATATATATCCATACGGATGAAACATTTCCAAAGCAATGGAATAATTTTCCCCTTAGTTTCTCTTCATCATGTTTCCTCCTTTGCTTCATCATTTGCATTTTATCAAACTTGTAAATCCAATATCCCTTACTTTCTTTGAATGGTATATATCCCTTGTGGATACTGGTTGAACCATTTGTGTTGGTTGTGGATACTGGTTGGTATTGAACCAGTATTCACACCCGATATTGAACCAGTATTCACGCCCGATATTGAACCAATATTCACGCTCGCATATTAAGGCTATTGATACTTGCTGATATTGAACCAGTTTCTGACCCTGAACCAGTATTCCTGCACATACTTAATCTCAGTTGTGGATACCAGTTCAAGCATCACAGACACCACCACCAATATTACCTCAGTCTACAACAAAGTTCACTATTTCAGTCAATACTGTTACACATGTCAGATGTCTGTTGATATTTCCAGTTACACATGTCTTTCATTCTGTTCAGAATTCACTGTGGTTGTTTCTGTTTGTCCACTGTGTGTTCATGTCTATTTGTTTATGTATTGTAGCCATAATTAACTTGGATAATTTTGTACTTAATGTTACCTTTTGCCGTATGTTAGATGCGATATAAAATTGTTTCTGTATGCTTGGTAGCATCTTAATTACAAACATATTAGGGGGTGGCTTACTTAATGGTTGGGTATTGGGCAGTGCTGTGTCCACACAATGGGCTGCCTTCAGGCAGTGCTGTGTCCACACAATGGGCTGTCATCAGACAGTGCTGTGTCCACACAATGGGCTGTCATCAGGCAGTGCTGTGTCCACACAATGGGCTGTCATCAGGCAGTGCTGTGTCCAGACAATGGGATGTCATCAGGCAGTGCTGTGTCCACACAATAGGCTGTCACCAGGCAGTGCTGTGTCCAGACAATGGGCTGTCATCACACGGTGCTGTTGCTGTGTCCAGACAATAGGCTGTCATCACACAGTGCTGTGTCCAGACAATGGGCTGTCATCAGGCAGTGCTGTGTCCAGACAATGGGCTGTCACCAGGCAGTGCTGTGTCCAGACAATGGGCTGTCACCAGGCAGTGCTGTGTCCAGACAATGGGCTGTCATCAGACAGTGCTGTGTCCAGACAATGGGCTGTCATCAGACAGTGCTGTGTCCAGACAATGGGCTGTCATCAGGCAGTGTTGTGTCCAGACAATGGGATGTCATCAGGCAGTGTTGTGTCCACACAATGGGCTGTCATCAGGCAGTGCTGTGTCCACACAATAGGCTGTCACCATGCAGTGCTGTGTCCAGACAATGGGCTGTCACCAGGCAGTGCTGTGTCCAGACAATGGGCTGTCATCAGGCAGTGCTGTGTCCAGACAATAGGCTGTCATCAGGCAGTGCTGTGTCCACACAATAGGCTGTCACCAGGCAGTGTTGTGTCCACACAATGGGATGTCACCAGGCAGTGCTGTGTCCACACAATAGGCTGTCATCAGACAGTGCTGTGTCCACACAATAGGCTGTCACCAGGCAGTGCTGTGTCCACACAATAGGCTGTCATCAGCCAGTGCTGTGTCCACACAATAGGCTGTCACCATGCAGTGCTGTGTCCAGACAATGGGCTGTCACCAGGCAGTGCTGTGTCCAGACAATGGGCTGTCATCAGGCAGTGCTGTGTCAAGACAATAGGCTGTCATCAGGCAGTGCTGTGTCCACACAATAGGCTGTCACCAGGCAGTGTTGTGTCCACACAATGGGATGTCACCAGGCAGTGCTGTGTCCACACAATAGGCTGTCACCAGGCAGTGCTGTGTCCACACAATGGGATGTCACCAGGCAGTGTTGTGTCCACACAGTGGGATGTCACCAGGCAGTGCTGTGTCCACACAATGGGATGTCACCAGGCAGTGTTGTGTCCACACAATAGGCTGTCACCAGGCAGTGCTGTGTCCAGACAATGGGCTGTCATCAGACAGTGCTGTGTCCACACAATAGGCTGTCCTTCTTTATTCATTCCAGTATTTTCATTTGCTTCATGTTTTGTTTAACAGTTGTTTTATACATTGTTTATGTTGTTATGCCTATTGTACTTATTTTCTGTATAGCTTTCTTTCCAAATCATCTGTACTTGTCAACGCGTGGATATGCGTCAACTGGGGAATTAGCTCATGTTTAAGATGAAGTGTACGTACACTACGTTGACAAGACGAAGGCATATGTTGAGCTCAAACTTCTTTAGTTACATGACAAACAAATACACAAGACATAAATGAGGTGAGCGGAGTACCTGCTCAACCCCAGGGCGTTTCCTACGAGCAGCATTCTCCTGCTCCTGGTCGTCCAAACACAGACAGTTGGAGTACCGGACTCGTCTCTGTTTGCTCCATGCATATGTGAGCATATATATACAGTTCTTGACAACAATGGACAGGCGATGACCCAACAATGGACAGATAGAAAAACAGTAGCACATCCTTGACCAGTTGATGTGATGGCAGACATGGCCAAGGGGGATGACCAATTAAGGTTATAAATGTCTTATACAGTAATATATAGTCAATGTACAATGCGGTAGTGATAAGGATGTACAGTAGTGATTAATAATACAGGTTAGCGTCATATATATATTACAATAAAGTCTCGCATGTCTTGACTACATAGTTTTGGACTTTTTAAATATTTGGACGATGGCTGTCCTGAATTAGACACTATAAAAAATAATGACATGCTCAAGTGACTGCCTCAGTCAGAAATAAGAATGTTTTGTTGTGGGAAGAGGGTCTGTTGCTCCAAGAATCAAGCGGAACACTGCTGACACTTCAGAGAGTCATTGTCTGCATTGTCAGTACGAGCATGTGTGAACTATGTTTCTGCATTCATGACAACCTGAACATAGCATTTCAAGTTTTGCACCAATGACCACAGATCTCTCGTATCTCGTAACCAAAGTTTCTTGCTTTTATATGTTGTTTATGACATTGGAAATTACAAGGGCGCTGATACAATTACTAATTGAAGTGCCTTCTGCCTTAACCTCTGCCAGTTCTTTTAAATTTTGATGCTGGTTGAAAAAACCTACCTGTGACAAAGCATGACAAATAAAGCAAAGGGAATTGGAGTAACCTCCCTTCCTTCTTACAGTCCATGTACAATAGTTCATCATCTGACTGGTAGATGTCAGGGTAGGTTGAATTTGAATTATGTTTATACCTGATGGCAACTTTAAGCAATCTTTGAAAACACGTGCAGCTTCTTTCCATTCATATACAGTTGAGCACCGTTGTCTCGATATTCATGGGACCAAGAAAAAATATCGAGTTATCCGAACTTCGAGATATCCAACCAGGGCATATCATCACATATCACTATGAACAAAAAGTAGATTTCATGTATATTTATTTGTATACATTTTTACTCACAGGGATCGCAATCACACACGATACCGCAATCACACACGATACCCTCATTGGATTGCAAGTATGTTTTGATTCGAAACTATAATCCGGTATCAGTACTGTTTAGTCGTAACAGTGAGTACTTCCTAATTAATTCCTTCTTAATTAATCCTAATTAAGTAACAAACAAGTGACACCTTCAACTCAATTAGCCCTAATTAGTTACACTACCGCATCCCTTTGATTCATGCCGCACCGTGTGGAAACAACCTCAGTTCGGAGGGATACTTGCGCATGAAAGGTAGGTAAATATCAAGTTTCTTTGCAAATATTGAGTTAAAGGGTAATTTTGCTTGTTGGGACCATGAAATTATATTGAGACATCCGTATCGAGTTAAAAGAGCTTGAATAATGATAAACTATGATGGATTTTGTCGGGACCGAGATGTTATATCGAGACAACCGAGATTTCGGTTATCAGAGTTCAACACAACGGTGCTCGACTGTATATAGAAGCCAAAGTTACTGTGCAGCTCATTTCAGCTTGACATGACTACGTACTTCAATGTATTGCATCACAGACCTGATGTTTATTTCAGGGAAATAAAACGGCAAACATTTAACCTGAGTTTCTAACTTTTAACTTGGATTTCTTTCATTCTCTTTCTCCCACTCTACAGTTTTGCTGTCTCTTTTCTACTCGAGCAATTGTCTTATTTTGTGCCAGCGAGCAGTATTCACCAGTGACCTTTGAAACAGGATTCAAAAAGAAAGACGTTAATCTCCAAAAGTGCAAAAAAGATACGCTGTGAACAGGATTCGAACCTGCGCGGGAATAACCCATTGGATTTCAAGTCCAACGCCTTAACCACTCGGCCATCACAGCTCTGCATTCACCCTAACTACTAAAGGGAACTATCTTGTAGAAAGTCGGATTTGGTTAAATAGCGGCTAAGACGCTGTGAACAGGATTCGAACCTGCGCGGGAATATCCCATTGGATTTCTAACGCCTTAACCACTCGGCCATCACAGCTCTGCCATCGTTGTCTTATTTTGTGCCACCCTAACTACTAAGGGAACTATCTTGTAGAAAGTCGGATTTGGTTAAATAGCAAAAAAAACTAAGACGCTGTGAACAGGATTCGAACCTGCGCGGGAATATCCCATTGGATTTCGAGTCCAACGCCTTAACCACTCGGCCATCACAGCTCTGCCATGTACCCTCACTACTAAGGGAACTATCTTGTAGAATGTCGGATTTGGTTAAATAGCAAAAAAACTAAGACGCTGTGAACAGGATTCGAACCTGCGCGGGAATATCCCATTGGATTTCGAGTCCAACTCCTTAACCACTCGGCCATCACAGCACTCACGTCAGGGTCTTCAAACACACTCAGGCAACTACTCACGAGGGTTTCACCATCGCAGAGTAACACATCAGCACAATTCAAAATGCAATATAACCAATTCTGTCCACATCACACTCACCCATACACAGCACACAATGTTTCGGAAATAAAACGGCAAACATTTAACCTGAGTTTCTAACTTTTAACTTGGATTTCTTTCATTCTCTTTCTCCCACTCTACAGTTTTGCTGTCTCTTTTCTACTCGAGCAATTGTCTTATTTTGTGCCAGCGAGCAGTATTCACCAGTGACCTTTGAAACAGGATTCAAAAAGAAAGACGTTAATCTCCAAAAGTGCAAAAGATACGCTGTGAACAGGATTCGAACCTGCGCGGGAATAACCCATTGGATTTCAAGTCCAACGCCTTAACCACTCGGCCATCACAGCTCTGCCATTCACCCTAACTACTAAGGGAACTATCTTGTAGAAAGTCGGATTTGGTTAAATAGCCAAAAAAACTAAGACGCTGTGAACAGGATTCGAACCTGCGCGGGAATATCCCATTGGATTTCGAGTCCAACGCCTTAACCACTCGGCCATCACAGCTCTGCCATGTACCCTCACTACTAAGGGAACTATCTTGTAGAAAGTCGGATTTGGTTAAATAGCAAAAAAAAAAAACTAAGACGCTGTGAACAGGATTCGAACCTGCGCGGGAATATCCCATTGGATTTCGAGTCCAACGCCTTAACCACTCGGCCATCACAGCTCTGCCATGTACCCTCACTACTAAGGGAACTATCTTGTAGAATGTCGGATTTGGTTAAATAGCAAAAAACTAAGACGCTGTGAACAGGATTCGAACCTGCGCGGGAATATCCCATTGGATTTCGAGTCCAACGCCTTAACCACTCGGCCATCACAGCACTCACGTCAGGGGCTTCAAACACACTCAGGCAACTACTCACGAGGGTTTCACCATCGCAGAGTAACACATCAGCACAATTCAAAATGCAATATAACCAATTCTGTCCACATCACACTCACCCATACACAGCACACAATGTTTCGGAAATAAAACGGCAAACATTTAACCTGAGTTTCTAACTTTTAACTTGGATTTCTTTCATTCTCTTTCTCCCACTCTACAGTTTTGCTGTCTCTTTCTACTCGAGCAATTGTCTTATTTTGTGCCAGCGAGCAGTATTCACCAGTGACCTTTGAAACAGGATTCAAAAAGAAAGACGTTAATCTCCCAAAGTGCAAAAGATACGCTGTGAACAGGATTCGAACCTGCGCGGGAATAACCCATTGGATTTCAAGTCCAACGCCTTAACCACTCGGCCATCACAGCTCTGCCATTCACCCTAACTACTAAGGGGAACTATCTTGTAGAAAGTCGGATTTGGTTAAATAGCAAAAAAAAAAACTAAGACGCTGTGAACAGGATTCGAACCTGCGCGGGAATATCCCATTGGATTTCGAGTCCAACGCCTTAACCACTCGGCCATCACACATGCACTCTAAGGGAACTACGTCAGGGATTTGGTTTCAAACACACTCAGGCAACTACTCACGAGGAGTTTCACCATCTCAGAGTAAAACACATCAGCACAATTCAAAATGCAATATAACCAATTCTGTCCACATCACATCTCACCCATACACAGCACACAATGTTTCGGAAATAAAACGGCAAACATTTAACCTGAGTTTCTAACTTTTAACTTGGATTTCTTTCATTCTCTTTCTCCCACTCTACAGTTTTGCTGTCTCTTTTCTACTCGAGCAATTGTCTTATTTTGTGCCAGCGAGCAGTATTCACCAGTGACCTTTGAAACAGGATTCAAAAGAAAGACGTTAATCTCCCAAAGTGCAAAAGATACGCTGTGAACAGGATTCGAACCTGCGCGGGAATAACCCATTGGATTTCAAGTCCAACGCCTTAACCACTCGGCCATCACAGCTCTGCCATTACCCCTCACTACTAAGGGAACTATCTTGTAGAATGTCGGATTTGGTTAAATAGCCAAAAACTATCTTGTAGAATGTCTAAGACGCTGTGAACAGGATTCGAACCTGCGCGGGAATATCCCATTGATTTCGAGTCCAACGCCTTAACCACTCGGCCATCACAGCACTCACGTCAGGGGCTTCAAACACACTCAGGCAACTACTCACGAGGGTTTCACCATCTCAGAGTAACACATCAGCACAATTCAAAATGCAATATAACCAATTCTGTCCACATCACACTCACCCATACACAGCACACAATGTTTCGGAAATAAAACGGCAAACATTTAACCTGAGTTTCTAACTTTTAACTTGGATTTCTTTCATTCTCTTTCTCCCACTCTACAGTTTTGCTGTCTCTTTTCTACTCGAGCAATTGTCTTATTTTGTGCCAGCGAGCAGTATTCACCAGTGACCTTTGAAACAGGATTCAAAAGAAAGACGTTAATCTCCCAAAGTGCAAAAAAGATACGCTGTGAACAGGATTCGAACCTGCGC